ACTGCAAACTTTCTTCTCTCCTCCGGGCGAAGTCCATCTCCCGTCAAATTTTATATAATCACTAACAACACGTTTTAAAGATTCGAAATCACCAGCCCGAGATAACTTCAGATTCTTCATAGCCAAGGCAGTTATTTCATCATTAATCGTTCGTGTAGAACTAAGATCTTTAGCCAAATCACTATTTGTGTCAGTGAGATGATTATTATCCGGTAAAAGCGTATTTATAACAAAGCTATACATTGCATGACCATCCGCCATTAGGCTGCGTGAGTTCATGAGTTCATTAGCCAATTGTCGGATTATAAACGTCCAATCCGAGCGGATTGTTTTGAAAAGCTTCAAACACGGCTACAACTGATAGACGCCGTCTCATTAGTATTCTTTATATAAAGAATACTAATTAGGATGGACGTTTATATAAAGAATACTAGTGAAGATGAGTTTTATCAGGTACAAAGCCTCTTCACGTGACATATTATGGTTGACATGATATGCCAATAAGCTTGGAAATTATTAATGAGTTTTTAAAATATATACAGCGTTTACATACAACACTACAGCAAACTTTTTGTTTCCGATGAACAACTATCTGTCATCTCTCCGTGACCGAAATAGAGCAATGGTCAGAAAATGATCTCACCTCCACTGGAGCACGACATTCTGGGCACTCCAAGCCACATTCATGCTCGGAAAGTTTCACGATACATTCATAACAATATGAATGAAGACACGGGAATACTTTGGGGTTGTTTAGCAACTCATGACACACAGCACACTTGACTAGTTCTTCCAATTTTTCAATGGTCTTTGACCGATGTTTTTTGGCTGGTTTTGATAACAACATTCTTTACACTTCTAAAATATAGAATTATACAAGTCGATATACTTAAATTCATATTCACTCGGAGTTGGCTTTTAATAAAGTATTTTACATGGTGCTATAAATAATGACAATTTTTTTCAGATGTATTGACTGATGAAAGCAATGTTTGCAATGAAATGACATGAGCAGCAGTGTTTTACCAGATATAAAAATACGAGGCGAAGCTGAGTATCGTTATAGCTACTCGTAGAAGTATGCATAAATACATTTTAGTTTTTCATTTAGTGGCTAAATTACGATTTGGTTCTAGTATATCAGTAAATGAATATTTTTTGAACACTAGAAGAAAATATAAAGATAAAGATATACGCCTGAATTCTAAAAGCTCACTCACACTCACTGAGTGGAGGTTCAATCTGAGCTTTCCTTGAGTGTCACTGCTGTTTTTGAATAGCTGGAGGGTTAGTCCCGTACCTTACTGCGTGACTACTCTCTCCAGCTATTAAAAAACAGCACTGACACACGAGGGAAACTCAGACTGAACCTCAACTCTTTGAGTGTGAGTATGAGCATAGATTATAAATCATACCAGATGTCTCACTCAGCCAAAATTGTGTCCGCGATTTTTTATGAGCACGCGTTGGCCGCCATTTTGACAGTAAGTGTAATCCACGCCATGAAACGTGAGCAATCACGCATTTTGGCAGAAAGCGCCATTTTGGCAGTAAGTGTCACACGCGTCATCTGGCGTGATAGCCTCGCGAAAATCGCGGACACGAAAATCATGGGGATAGATACACAGTGAGACATCTGGTATGATATATATATAATCTATGGTATGAGTGAGCTTTCAGAACACGACTCACGAGCGATAAAGAGACCATGATGAGCACTCTAGAAATCTATTTAATAAAGATGTTTACTGATTATTTATTATTATTTATCGTTTATCATGTTAACAGCAAAAAACCTTTCTATTCTCGTACACAGGAGTCCTTGTTTCGAATCAGGTTTTTCTATTTCCAGTCCGGCTTTTCAAAAGTCAAGTCCGAGTTTTCTTAAAGACGAGTCCGGATTTTTTTTCGAATCCGGAGTTTTCTCGAGTCCGCATTTTCTTCAAGTCCGGGATTTTCTCGAGCTCAGATTTGAGTCCGAGTCCAGATCCGAGCCGGTACCAGACATATACGTATTCACATGATTTTTTACCCAAAATATTACATATATCATTAAGCAATCAAAGAATTGGAAGTGATGTATTTACAAGATCACCAGGGCGTTAAAATACAGTGCCATTTGTTATGTACGTCTTCAATATCACAATCTGCGCGCTATGCGGCAAAACAATAACAGCCCTAGTTCACTTTGCGGTTTCAAAAAAGTAGTAGGCCTAAGACCTAGTAAACATTACCTGATCACGGTACATACAGATGATCAACTTCATAAATTATCACATCATAGGAACTGAGCAATTCAACTCATTTATTCGCCTACGAACTGAATGCTTCCGTCTATATAAAGCTGTTTGCCAGGCTCTTGGCAGGGGTTATAAACGCGGAAATCTCACATGGTAGAGTTTCAAATTTCAATAACACATTTTGAAGAGGAATAAAATAAAATACGCCATGGCATATAAATATCTCAGTACAGTTTCAATTGTTAGCAAGTTAAATTTTGCCTGGTAGTCTGGTGCATTGTAAAAACAAATTGGTTGAAACAACCAATACATTAATTGATGAATATATATGAGTGACCCAGTTTATGTACATGTGCTGTTTTAACCAATTTATTCTTTCAGTGTATATGCAGTGGTGCACAATTAGTGCAGAATTATAACCAACAATTATACGTGAAGATAAATGATCAACATCAATGTAGTAATGTCCATCCTAGTTCTAATAATGGATTCTATCGAGGGCGTTTCACTCTGTGATAACTTGAATGTCCTGCTTTCCCATTATATGCCTATGGCAATGTGAGTTATAGTGACTTAGTGTGAGTTGAGTTATAAGCTACATGACATACATGCCTGATAAATTAAGCAATTTATATGATTCGGTTCTCATAATAAATGGGAATCTAGCAAAGATTTACTCAGGGCTGCCACTCTCGATAACCTATTTTCACCTAGGGCGGGCACTGAAATTCCCTATGTCAGCCCCCTACAGCATTCAATGGGTCTGCCACGCATGCTACCTAAAGCACAATATGCAATTTTTCCCTACGTTCCCCCAGCAATATTGTATTTTCCCTGAAACATTGTATATTTGTATTCTTAAATTGTTGTGGAGTTATCAACTTATGGCTTATCTTTTCATGTCACGCAATCACGAGATAAACTAGTCCCCTATCCCTAACCCTAACCCACAGTCACAGAATAGAAACTATACAGAAGCCCAACTTCTTGGTTTTTCCTATGATTTTGACGTCACCGTAATTCGTCATAAAAATGTTGACGCCATGGTCCTTAGCAAGTGCGCTTATGAGAGGCGTTCTGATTCATCCTCCTGATGATATTCAAAATGGCAAACGTACAGGGGGGAATTGCCTCTTATAAGCGCACTGGTTAGGTCATTATCATGGCGTGGCAGCCGTTATGCCTTTTTAGCTGAGTCTACCTTCTGTGTGTCTTTATTCTGTGCAGTAACCCTAACCTGCTGACTGACCACTTATATTTCGTGACTGCATGACATGAAATTATGAAAATGAACCAACTTATCACTCATAACATGATATTTCAGTGCTTCCACATGCATTCAATGCAAATTTAAATTTCTAGTTGTTTCCATAAAAAATCTTGTAATTCCATACAATGTTCGATACTCCATAAAAGCCATAAAATATTGAAATCTACGGAAGGGCTGAATTGGATAAACACAAAAAGAGAAATACGATTTTTGAAGGTAAAACGTAGAAGAAACCTCCTACGTTTCCCTACAAATTACTTTTTTCCCCGTAGGTATCCCCTACCCCCTACCAGAGGTGATAATCCCCTACCGTAGGAGAATCCCTATAATGTCTTAATTCTTCTTCTTCATAACATCTGCTGACCTTCAGTTTTGGTGTGGCAAGCTGCAGACATTCGGTGGTCAGGTCCTAAATGGATATGTTCACGTGATTCGGATCTGAATCTAAGTAACTCAAATCCCTATAGATCATTAGCTGACCACACGAGTAAGAATGGTGACGACAGATATTAACATGACAGCTGAATGAAGTCAGAACGGAACGATTTCGTTTTCCCCAGGGGCGGATCCAGCATCTCAATCTGACCGTAGCATAATTGGCGTGGCCGAAGGCCACGCCCACCCCTAGGGGGGTCCGGGGGCATGCCCCCCCGGAAAATTTTTGAAATTTGAACCCCGGAAATGCTGTTTCCTGCGTTCTGAGCAGCAGATTCTGTCCAAAAATTTGGCCTTAACCAGGCCATATTTTAGACAAAATGTAACAAAAATACACACAATAACTGATAAATGTTCTAACATACCTTGTTCTCCAGTGAATAATACAAAATCAGAGGACAATCACCTTACACTTACTCACATATGATCACAACTCCAGACTCTAGACTATGTCTGATGCAAATTTCACACGCAGTTCCATATTGTATGACAGATTCGGCTGTATTTCAGGCGATTGGTATCAGTGTTCAAGTTTCTACACCAGTAATCATAAAGCGTCTTGATGTAGAAAAATCTCCATTCGGGACTGAGTACATCGTTCACATTTCCTTCTTTCAGTTACTCCGTAGGTCTTTTACGAGGTAGGGTTTCCAACCCAGTGACCAACCCTCCTCCTTTTTCATCCGGGCTTGGGACCGGCAATGGCGGAGTTAGGGAGCATCTTGCAACAAAGGACGTATTTAGGGAAAATAGCACAGCGTCAGTAAGGAACATTGTTCACTGCAAATCGTCTTGAAACAGCTGGACAAAGGTAGTTAAATAAATGTTCACTGGTACCGTAAATCATCTTGAAACAGCAACACGAAGGAAGGTACGAAAATGTAATTATTCACCCTTATAACTTATCTTAAAACAGCAGCATAACGGCAGCTTGCGGCAGATACGAAATGTCCATTGTAAGTCATTTTGAAACAGCAGCACGAAGGAAGTTAAATAAATGTTCACTTGTCTGTAAATCATCTTGAAACAGCAGCAAAAAGGAAGTTAAATAAATGTTCACTGTAAATCATCTTGAAACAGCAGCACGAAGGAAGTTAAGTAAATGTTCAGTGTAGATAATCTTGAAACAGCAGCACGAAGGAAGTTAAGTAAATGTTCAATGTAAATCATCTTGAAACAGCAGCAAAAAGGAAGTTAAGTAAATATTCACTGTAAATCATCTTGAAACAGCAGCACGAAGGAAGTTAAGTAAATGTTCACTGTAAATCATCTTGAAACAACAGCACGAAGGAAGTTAAGTAAATGTTCACTGTAAGTCATCTTGAAACAGCAGCACGAAGGAAGTTAAGTAAATGTTCACTGTAAATCATCTTGAAACAGCAGCAAAAAGGAAGTTAAGTAAATGTTCACTGTAAATCATCTTGAAACAGCAGAACGAAGGAAGTTAAGTAAATGTTCACTGTAAGTCGTCTTGAAATAGTATAGTACAAAACAAGTTCGAGAAATACTGACTTTTTAATCACGTTGAAGTAGACGTACAGCACGACGGCATTTGAAACATTTTCACCTGTAAATCACAAGTGTCCTAGATTAATTGCAATGTAGAGATTGTACATCAAAATAGTTTTAGCATCATTCGTCGTGGTTGTTTGATTGCAAATTCGTCAATAATTTCCTCAGTATCCAAGTGAATTTCGCGATGTACATTCAGTAATGCTAGACTCTTCAACCTAGATTCTGACATGGTGCTGCGAAGGTATGTCTTAAGTCGGCGTAAAACAGAGATAGATCTTTCGCAAGTACATGTAGTAACTGGGATTGTAGCAAATATTTGTAATGCAGTATATATATTAGGGAAGCTGATTTTGTCTACAAAAGGCAAAACATCAGTTAATTTCGATGGCAACGGGCCCTTTTCCATCTGACATCGTTCACTCCACATTTCCAATTCCGTACTGAGAAAGCGAGGTTGCGGTAGGTCATCTTTGTACATGTCAAGGAATTTCGAAAATTTTGTTTTCCAGTCAGGGCAGGTCAAAACATTCCTGGGTAAACCATAAACAGCGTTCATAACATCCAGGTTAGTCTCGGAGAATCTAGTTTGGATTTGGGACTTAAGATGATCCAAAAAGGGAATGGTAACCACACGCTTGTAGTACTCTGGTGGTGAGTCAGCTGGTGTGTTTGCGCGGTGATGCTGCCTTCCTGCTATTCTTGGTCTGTGTGGCTCGGTTCCAACTGAATCTGCAAGAGAGACTGCTTCTTGGTACAACGAGTCATGCCTTCTATCCACTTCATTCCTCACTTTCTCGAGGTGTACATATAAACCAGATACCTTTTCTCTTGCCATTCCTGCATCTATAGCTGATTCTTGCAGTTGCACGGTGAGTGGACGGGTCACCTCCAGACATTTCGAGACCACAACCAGGGTTACGATAAACGGAAAAGAGGTAACTAAAATAAATAAATAACATGCTTTTCTGGTGGATTCTACATTCCATGATTTGTCTACATTGTCGCGAATTGTTTCAAAGCATTTAACAACAGCGAGGAAAATTTCAATAAAAACAGACAATCCATCAATTCTTGCCACCCATCTAGTTTTGCAGACATTGATCAGACGCGTATGACTTGATGCAGGACAAATTTCTTTAATAGTCTTGACCAAAAGCTCGAAACGCTTGGGAGAAAAGTTGAAAAATTCTGAGGCGACACGAACATGATCCATCATATCTCTTACAAGTTGTTCTTTACAGCTGGTAGCAACGCAAAGATTTAAAATGTGAGAGTTACAGTGGACATAAAGGGCTTTCTTATTAATTTCTTGAATCCTAGCTGCTGCTCCAGATAGCCTCCCCGCCATATTTCCTGCTCCATCATAACCCTGACCACGACAGTCATCAATTGGTAAATTCTGATCACGAAGGAAATCTTTGATCGTAGTGGAAATAGCGTCGCCCGACAAACCCCTGTTGCATTGAAGGAAACCAAGAAACTGTTCTCTAATGCGATGCGTTTCGTCCACAAAACGAACAACGAGGCTAAGTTGTTCTAATTTCCCACAATCAGCTGCTTCGTCAGCGAGAACGGAAAAAAACCTTGCTTTGCGGATCTCATCTGTAATTTTCTTTGTAATGAGGTCGCCGCAAATATCAATAATTTCATTCTGGATGGTCTTGGATTTGTACGTCAGGTTCTTTGGGGTGCTCTTGAAAAACTCTTCTAGTGTCTTCCCCGCGCATACTGCTCCATACTTTAATATTTCTATAAAATTGCCACAGTTGACGTCATCTGACAGATAATTTGAAGAATCATCTCTGTGTCCTCGTAATGAAATATTTTGCCTTCCACAAAGAACAATTGCTCCAACGATGGGTCTTAATATTTGTCTGTTCTCTTCTATTTGTTGCCTTTTCATTTCATCCAGCAAAACATCAATGGGTTCCGATTTCTTTTCCATGTGCGATCTCAATATTGCTGCACGCGATGTGGCTGCTTTGTGTAGTGGCGACTTCTCCGAATGCTCACGAAATTTGGTAGATGCAACTTTCCATGTTCTTAAGGGGGATGTAAATAGCCTGTTCAGTTTACTTGTATTGTGCACACCTTTACATTCCGAACCAAATAACACGCAATTTATGCAGAAAGCTCCATCCACCTTTTGTGAATACGCTAGCCATGGGAATAAGTTCAACCATTCAAAACGGAACTTTCTTTTGTCGTTGTCCAATGGAAACGTGTACGTTGCCGATGGTCTCCAAACATTACAAAGAACGTGGTACTTTCGTTCATCAGTTAACGAGGATGCGTTCGCGTAATTGGCTATGTCTGTGGGAAAACTAGAAGGATCCGGTTTTGAAAATGATTCTTTTTGTACCAGCGAGCTGCTTGGCCGTTTCTTCGGTTGTTGGTTATGAATTTGAGCCTCTTCATCACCACTTTGCTCGCCGAATTTTCTTTTCTTCGGAAATAAATTATCAAGAACAGCTTGCTTTTTTTTAACTTTTTGTGTACCAGAAGATAAAGGTTGCGGAGCGGATGAAGGTTGATGGCCAGATGAGGGTTGGGGAGCAGACAATGCCTGTGATATTTTTCCAGCATATGAAGGGGTCGTCCTTATTTCGGTCGAACTTGCGTCAATACCGGAGAGAACGGGCTTCATAAAAAACTTCTGAATGCAGGTTGGGTCACTGATGTTGTCTTTTGGCTTACAGAGGGCAACGTAATGGTTTTTACGTGCAGGAATTTTACTCACCACAGAATAATCTATTGGCATCAGTGCACACCGAAAAATGTGAATCCTCTCATCAGAATTCAATTTAGTTATTACTCGTGGCTGAATAGTGCAATTAAACATTGTGGACAAAGAATCTTTCTTCTCTTCGGAGGTGCTTTCATTTGTTGTTGGGATGGGAAAGTATGCCTCAATTGGAAGGCTTATTGCACTTGACAATGCAAGAAGGCAAAGGAACGAGCTCCACTGGCGATTCAATGCATTGTTGTATGATTCGGTTACAACAGATTTACTAAGATCGTCCTTAGCAAGCGAATCCAGAGCTATATCGGACAGGCACATTGCAAAAGCATTTGCAATGCAAGAAAATGCGCCTTTGTTATGCTGCTGCTCTAAGATAGGGTGTTTTACATAAAACAAAGAATTTACAAAAAGCTCAATGCTTGTAAGACAACGCAGGTAAGGTGCAAGGGTCTCGTTGCCACACAATGCAATGGAACAAGCATTGTACAGGCAGTTTCCATCTCCTGTTGTCCTAAAAGGGGGTGAAGACGGAAAACCACGTAAGCCCATTAATGGTAATTTGTATTAGTATCAATGCTGAAATAGTCATTTATTGGTTGGTTTATGAATGTTCACCCTCATTCAATTCAACATCAAATATTACTGTCGTTCCAATTGAAGTGTTCCTCAAATATTGATTCAATACATTACCTCGGGCTGACCAATTCATTTCATCAAGTTCCTCGAGATATTCATACACTTCCTGTGAAAGAGCCAATTCCAAGTATTTGATCATTTCTGATCACTTCCTCTCCATTTATGATTGGTTAGTTGCACAAACAACAAAGGTGATTGGCGTATTCAAACTATTCAACAGGAAGTTTACAATTATACTGGGAAGTATATGAATATCTCAAGGAACTTGATGAAATGAATTGGTCAGCCCGAGGTAATGTATTGAATCAATATTTGAGGAACACTTCAATTGGAACGACAGTAAACAACAAGTCATATGATATTAGGCCGTAGGGATCATTTAAGAAAGTAATGAGTATACAGGAGTATCAAAAAAACTGAACCTTTCAAATTCATATTAGCTATAATGTATTGTAGTAATTTGACAGCTCTAATTGCTTTGAATTAATGGTTGGGTAAGAACACAAGAAATACTGTATTTCTTTTAAATTTTCTAATTTTTATTTCTTTGAGTTTTGTCCCATGAGTACAAGACCTAGTGTTCTTAT